TAATATATAAGTTTTTATTAAAAAAATTAAACTTTTTAATAAAAACACAGGCAAATTTGCTTGTGTTACAATTTAAGGGATAATACTATAATTTAACAATTCTACTGATAACACTATTTCTGGTCTATGATTTTATAAAAGGATAATATATATATATATATATATTTATTTATACTATTTTTATGTGATAGTGATTATAAGTGAATTGTGATTATATATAGATATTTTTATAAGTAAAAAATTTGTATTGAAAATTTGTATAATTATATAGAAGTTGTAATTATAGAGAAGGTGATTATAAAGAAGAAAGACTATAGTTATAATCTACCTCTTATTACTTATCACATTACTCCTAATTCGTTTCTTATATAACTTCCAAATTGGTGTTCTAGGAGTAGGCACTCTTTTTGTTTTTAGTTTGGTGTCTTTTAAGATATTACTTCAAATTCTAATCTGTATTCCAAGCCAGATGCTGCCACTATCTGAAGACCCATATTTCAAGCTACCTGCTGCTACTATTAAGAGAGCTGTTTGCATAGTTTCAGGTATTCATGTTGTACACCACTTAATTAGGCTACTATCCCTTTTATAGTACTTCCTATTGGTATAGTGATACAGAAGTCTAGATCCTTAGAAAAAGAGTTAAGTACTTTATTTAATTACTACCACAAAGCAGTAACTCAGGATCTGCACTTCTGCTATATTTTATTATAGACTTCTATATAGGTTGTATGACTATTACTAACTAGCTGTCTTTATGTTTGTACCACTAGGGTACTTGTTTCTATACTTTTTGGAGTTTTTTTTAACCAGTTTTTTTGTTTCTTTATTGTGTCAGAGATGTTCTATATTTGGTAAAGCTATTCTTTTACTATAGTCTCTTACAATATTCACCACTTCTGGATATATTGTATACAGCTATTCTCCCAATCAAGATCCCAATGCTGCCTTAGGGTTGTTGGTGCTACCTTGCCAATCACAAATTCACACACATAGCTTTCTGCAGTATTATTTTTTATAACTACATGCAGTATCTGATTTTCTTCATGGCTCAGAACTTTTTCCAAGAATTTTTTATCAGCCAAATATATACTTCACATGGTTTTACCACTACAGGGTTCTGTATTTAAAAGCCCCCAAAGATTACAGAAATAATTAATTTAATTAATTATCACCAGCTATAATTGAACTGTCAATCTCATCTGTAGAGAGTTAGACATCTAAACTACTAGGCTACAGGACTCTAATTCCTTTTATTTGAATTTTATTTTTGTATAATTTTTTTTTTTGCTTTTCTCTTTTTTAGTTATATTCTTGTTGTTATTTTTAAACTTTTCTTTGTTTTTTTTGAGTTCTTAAAAAAAATTTAAAAAAAATGATTATTTTAATAAAGCTAGCAATAAGTTTTTAGTAATTTAATAGATATAGGCCTAGCAAGTTAAACTTCTAGAAATAAGAATATATGAGTACTTTTCAATATAAAGAGGATAGATCTACTTTTGGCCAAAAAAATTTTTTTGGCCTATTAAATAAAGCATAATTAGATATATAATTCTAATTAAATTTTAAATTATGCTTTTTTTAAGTTTTATATATAATTTTTATTATCTAACTTGATTTTTACATAGTGAAAAATTAAAAGTTACATATATTTCACAATTGTTTATATTACATAGCATATATAAATAATATTTTAAAAATTAATCGTTACTAGTAGTTGTTTTGATCTACAAAAATGTGATTTTTTTAAAATTTATAATTAAATCTAAATGGAGATTTATATCTTTTTTATTGAAAAGTGCCCATACATTGCTATAATAAATTACACTTGGGCACTATCTAGATAGCTGAGTAAGTCTTTATTTACAAAGAAAAAGATTAAAGATATTTAGTTATTGCAGGCTATTATAAATATTTTGTAGTTTTGAATATGTATTTTTTGATTAATAAAAGCAAAATTGCTAAGTCAATATTTAATAAAAAAAAACAATAAAAAAAAGTAACAAAAAATAATCAAAAGTAAAAAGTAATAAAATATAAAATTTTGCTATTTATTACCACTGGTAATTATCATCGGTGTTGCTATATCTCAAAAATGTATTAAGTAAACAGAATTGGGTATTCTAAGTAAAAATGTCAAGAACCCCTGAAAACCTCTATATTATATTATATAAAAAACAATTCTTTAATTTCTAAACCTAACCCTAACAAATCTTAGGACTGGTGATGATTACTACTAGTGATATGTAGTAATTTCTTAAAAAATAAATATATTGAAGTAGATATTTAAAAAAAATTTTAACATTATTTTTTAAAAAAAAATATTTTAAAAAGAATTATAAATTATTGCCATAGCTAATGCTAAAAATACTAATATTAAAATTTTGGAATCTTTACTTAAAACTATATAAAACCCATATATACACTTTAATTAATAAACCCTAACTCTAAACTCTAATCAAACTATTATATAAAGGAAAAAAATACACCCCAAAAATTTTTAAAAATTTAATAATAAAATAGTCAAAATTTTAGCACCAGCCATTTTTAGCATCAGCTATAACAATTATTGGGTTTATGTCATTTGCCCAACAACTATTTGTCCAACAACTAGGGCAGTCGTCAATAGAAATAAGGCAGATTGACATTTTAAAAAAAATCAATACCATAACTTTCACAGCTCGTATCTCAATGAATTTTGAACTTTCTTTTGACTATTAAATCATCAAGATAGGCTTAAAATTCATCGAGATACGAGCTGTGAAAGTTAAGGTATTAATTTTTTTAAAATGTCAATCTGCCTTATTTCTATTGACGGCTGCCCAAATAAAAAAACTAATAATATTTTGTTTATATAATATTTGTAAATTTTATTAAAGTTTATATTTTTAAATTGACTTCAAATTTTAGCATCAGCTAATTTCAGTGACAGTATTTATGTAAAACGTAATCTATTGAAAGAAATAATTTTATAAAAAAAAAAAATTGCATTATTGAAGTTTCGAAATTATCAAACTACCGGTAATATGCATCCGAAATTATGTATAACCCGGCAAATCTACTATCATGTGACTCATGAAAAAATAAAAGCCCAATTTTTTAAACCAAACAGATCCTTCTCTTCAATTGGCCAACGGATTAAAGAACGCTTATTCAGTATGAAGGTATGTCATGGTGGCAATCTGATCAGAGTTAAAAGGCTTTGTATAAAACAACAAGTAGACAGCTTGTTTACCCTCATTCATGGCTTAAATTATATTTAATCATTCATCTTTGCTATTAGCATTAAAAGAATCAATGATCTAACGTAATATCTGTTTTTTAGTTGAATATCGCCAATCCGGCCACTGGTTGCCAAAAATTGATCGACATTGATGATGAACGAAGATTGTGGGTACCAAAGAAAAGCGTATTGTTACTAGATTCTTTTTCAATCATCATTTAATTGATATTTTTTGACTTCCGTGAAATTGATAAAAATATAAATTGGCATTTAATCAATCATACAAAGCAACAAATAAATTTACAAAAGAATTTAAATATTTGACAAAATAGGCTGATTTGAATCATTTTGTTTTTGTGCAACTTTTGAATAGACGTGTCTTTTATGAGAAAAGAATCAGCGCGGAGGTTCCTGGTGATTCTATTGGAGATGAATTTAAGGGCTACGTGTTTCGAGTTTCTGGAGGCAATGACAAACAAGGCTTTCCTATGAAACAGGGTGTCTTACGCAATGATCGCGTACGGCTCTTGCTGTCCAAAGGGCATTCATGTTACAGGCCTCGCCGTACTGGTGAACGTAAAAGGAAATCTGTTCGTGGATGTATTGTGGGAAGTGACCTTGCTGTATTGTCCTTGGTTGTAGTTAAACAGGGTGAACAGGATATTCCTGGGCTCACTGATAATGCTGTTCCCAAACGCTTGGGTCCCAAAAGAGCCTCAAAAATTCGCAAGTTTTTTGTACGTTTATTCAACACATTTGAGGATAGTATAGTTTAATAGGTTTATTTTGGATTAACTGGTTTTTTTTTTCGATTGATATAGAACCTGTCTAAGCAGGATGATGTCCGTAAATTCGTTATCCGTCGTGAAATTCAACCAAAAAATGAAAAGAAAAAGCCTTATACAAAGGCTCCCAAAATTCAACGTCTTGTAACACCTCTTACTTTACAACGAAAGCGTCATCGCCTCGCTCTTAAGCGCAGAAGATCTCAGGCAGCCAAAGCAGCAGCAGAAGAATATGCAACTCTCCTTGCCAAACGTGTAAAAGAACAAAAGGAAAGAAAAGCAGATCTTAGAAAGAAAAGAGCCACAGCTCATAAAGCTGAATAAAATTCACATTTTACTATGTGGTACATTTGCAATTTTGTGGCTGGATAATCCAGAGCACTTTAAAGATATATTATTATCGGCGATTAATGTAGAAACATTTGATAAATAAAACTCGAATTTTAGCGATCAATTTCAATGAAACGGATTCAATAAACATCCCTTTACAATAAAGTCTAAATTTATTTTTATTATTTGGGTATCGCCAAATGAAAACTTTAACCTTTATAAGACTTCCAGGTTTTCATTTGGCGAAATTCACTTAGTAAAATGTATACATATATTTGGAAACGGCGTATAAATTTTGTCGGATGGTTTTATACATATATTGCACGAAACTAATTCTTCCGACCTTACCGATTTATTTTATTGATTCGTAAGATCTTGCACGTTCATTTCGAAATATTACTGCAAAAGATACTTATTTATACTACAGATTATTTATCAAGATGCGTGCAAAAAGAAACATAAAATAATACTTAACTGGATGATCGTTTCTAAATTTGCATTGATTTTTTTTTTTTTTTTGCGATTAATTCATGTGTTGAAAATCCAACATTGTAAGGAAACGTTCGAAATTTTGTATACGAATGGTACTTTTCAAAGGTATGCATACTTGTAAGTACTTGTAAGACACAAAATACTTCGATAGTGACTCCATATAAAATGTATATGAAACATTCAAGGAATGTAATTCTCATCATTAAAATCTCAGATGGGCTTTATGAATGCATACCAGTTAATTTATGCCGTAATGGCAGTTTCGATTTTTTCCGGGGTATAGACTTATATTTCATCGCTTCTTTTGCGCCTTGAAATCACGATTTGATTGTTTTATATTTTACAACTTTTGGAGGGGTTTTTTTTTTTTGCTTCGTTTTCGCTTTTTTTTTTGTCTTTTTTTTATTTTTTTTTTTGTATTTTTTTTATTTGGGGAAGATCGCTGCCTTGGATGAGTTTCTCCGATATTCAAAGTAATGTTGAAAAAGCGATTTAATCGTGATTAGGCCCCGTTAAGAAATGTTAAGGAGAAGAGAAAAAGTAATTTTCCATGCTGCATGTAACATTGTTAGAAAAATCATTTACTTTTTAAAACTAAAATATATGCAATATACTTTATTATAAAAACACTTGATGAGAAACGGTGGTCGTTTGGATGGTATGCGATGAGGAAGAGACTCGACTGTACAAGGTGCACAAAACGTTCGAAAGACTTTCGAGTCGTATGGACATCCGCATACTGTTTGAGTAGGAACATGGTCTAACTCTCGTTTATATGATTGGTGTTTTTTGTCTATGTGGAAACCACCGCGAAAAGAACAACCTTGCGACCGACCGTTCCGACCCGTGACCGATAACTGCACTTTTTTTTTTTTTTTTTGAATTTTGAGAATAACCAATAAAGAAACACGTTGATAATATTGATAATATGCAAAGTATCACAAGAAAATAAAGCATAGACAAAGAAACTTTTCATCGAATTAATAACTCAAACATACGATCCCGCCCATAAAAAATAATAGAAATATAGAAATAAGGAACAGAAAGAAAGAGGAGGGAAATATATGCTACTCGAATTCGTCTGCAACTCACAAGCTATAAGATAGAGAATATTTAGAAATTTTACATGGCAAAAAAAGCTGTATTAAAGTACTGTATTCTTCGTAATATAGCTGGTGTTGTTGCGGTTTGGTCATTCGTCCTATTTCACTTAATCTCGTTGAGGGCTTCTCGATTGAGAACGATGTGGTGCAGGAGATACTGAATGAGAGCGGGATGCCGGGTGACCGTTCGGAGATGGGGACCTGTCTCTTGGAGATCTTTCAGTTCTTTCTCTTGTTTCCTCTCTGGGACGAGAAGATGAACGAGAGTCACGGCGCTTGGTTTCGCCTCTCGATTGTGATATAGACCTAGACCTTCTATCTTCAGCCATACGTTCCTCCCCATTGGTTCGATCGCCCCTTTCAGGACTCCTAGGACTTCTGGATCTTGTACGACTGCGACGTGTATCAGAACGAGGAGAACGGCTACGTCCACGAGAACGAGATCGGGTACGACTCGCAGATCTAGTATATGAACGACGTCTTCTATGGCGCGGAGGAGTAAGAGATCGGCGACTTCTACGGGGCGAACCTCTGTTACTACCTTCATATCTCCAAGATCTAGAAGGTGCATTTTTGGCCCACTGAATAATGACGATGATAAATAACATATATCTAATGTATAACCTTAGCATAAGAACTAAGAAATGCTACCTGAATATTCAAAGCATGCCCATAAACTCTACGTCCATGCATTTCATAGTAGGCATCTTCAGCATCTCGCTCATCTTCGAATTCAACAAAAGCGTAACTTTTTTTTGGAATACAACAGGAAAATTTAATTGCATTTTTAGATAAGTAAATAAAACAAATTAATACCGAAATTGCTACCAGCGCTTTAGATAGAGATAAACAAAAAACAAAGACAGAATAAAGTTGACGCAATACTTACGGTTTCGACGAAAAGCTTCTTGGGGCTGGAATATCACACCTGATTAGGCGTCCATATCTGTAATTGATAAACATAGCTACTTTAAAAACTTGTCAAACACAGAAGAGCTGTAACTAGCTTCAACTTTTAAAGTAAGACAGCGTTACTGCTTTTTTTTATTTTTTGAGCTTTTTATTAACCTTTCGAACTCATATGCTAAGTCTCTAGCTCTAATTTGGTGTCCAAAGCCAGCCACAAACAAGGTTGTTCTGCGATAACTCATTTATTTACGTTATTCTGTAGACGGTATAAACCAAATAGCAACCAGTAAAGGTCCGACCGATCTAAATAAAAGTATTGATTGATCCTAACTGTACGAAAGATGGCGTTGCGTTTTTTGTCTTTGTTGAAAAGGATTCTAATGAAGAAAGAAAAAAAAAAAAAAAAAAAGGTTATAATTATTTCTGCCCCTTTTTTTCTCTTATTTAACGACCTTTACTTGGTCGGACATAATATTGGTCGTACAGTATTAATTTTGGCCGAAATCAAATATCGGCCAAAATTTGTTGATGATGTACGTACAGGTAAATATTATTAACTGTTAACTATATACTGGTAGATCGAGTTAATTGTCATTTACGTATACACAAAGTTCATTTTATCTTTTCTTGCCCTACAACGAGTCTTTATTGCATTAATCGGTTTCCTATATAACCCTTACTTACAATACTAACATAAAAATTTCGCTTAAAAAAAATTATCAGGTGGTTTGAAGGGCGTGGTGATACTAATGAATACGTACGCAGAAGGCAGTTTCATAGACAAATTTTTATGAACGATTTTTGATTGGTTATAAAAGCGAACACTGTTTAATTATCGTGATTATTAGTTTAAAATAGGGGGACAATTACCCACCCTAAATGTGTTTGGGCAAACGTTCATGCATTATAAAATATATTCTCTTTTGAAAAGTTCATATTTATTATCAGTTTTTAGCAATAGATGATTCTAATTACAATTCGGAGTTTACAGTTTAGAGATAGATCAGCGAATAACCGCCACATATATGTGTTATATAGTTTATATAATAAAAATATATAATAATATAGTAACTTTTGAGTAGTTAGCTATACTACTTGATTTAAATACATAAAAGGATAAAAATGTATGTATTCAAAAGAATAAACTAAAATTCAAAAAAAAACTAAACTTAAATAAAACAAAATACAAGATATAAAATAAAAAAATAGCAATTAAAATATGATAAAAGAATTTTTACAATTAATAACAAATAAAAAATTAAGAGGTATATACAATATAACAAATATATAATTAAAAAATATTAGTTTATTAAATAGAAAAGATAAAATTAATAAAACAAAATTTAAAAAAAAAAAAAACAAAGAAAAATTTTTTTTTTTTTTAATAATCATGTATTAATAATCTTTATTAAATTTGTGCTTTAATACAACTTTAAAGCTTTATATAATAAAACTAATTAGACTCCATCTAGCTTTTTCTATTTCTTTTTTTTTTTTTGTCAATTCAGCAATTTTGCCAATATTTTATTAGATATAATCATTTGAACTCTTAGGTAAAAATACAAATTTGACTAAAGTTATCTAAAATCCACCTAAATTACAAATATTGAATAACTTGGCTCTTTGTAACACTGAAGTGTCCAAATTACCCATGTTTAATATGCTATAGTAAAGTTTATCTCTATATTAAAAAACTTTGCAAATGAATTCTTCAATATATCACTAAGGGAGCCGCCAGAAATCAGCTGATTTTCTAGAGGGGGGGGGGGGGGGTTTCTTGCTTAGTTAGGTTACTATATATCCTTTATTCTAATTGGCTAATACAACATATTATTTATATACTATATACTATATATGAAGTTTTTATTAGTTAATAACTTTTGATCTACTAGTTTGATTTGGATGATTTAACTACCAAAATGATCCTCTCAAAGAGAGGATTCTAGCAAGCCCAAAATTATAAAATTCCAATCACAGAATTATAAGATTGATATAGATTTGTGTATTATTACTATACTATATTATTAAATAAATACTACATACTACTATATACTGTAGTAATAATACACAAATCTATATTGATCTTATGATCCCGTGATTGGAATTTTATAATTTTGGGCTTGTTAGAATCCTCTCTTTGAGAGGATCAGTTTAGTAGTTAAATCATCAAAATTGGACTGATAGATTAAAAGTTATTTATTATATTTTATATAATATTTAATAATAAATATTTTTTGATATACTAGTCCAATTTAGATGATTTAACTACCAAAATGATCCTCTCAAAGAGAGGATTCCAACAAGCCCAAAATCATAAAATTCCAATTATAGAATCATAAGATTGATATAGATTTGTGTATTATTACTATAGTATATAGTAATATATAGTATTTATTTAATAATATAGTATAGTAATAATACACAAATCTATATCGATTTTATGATTCTGCAATTGGAATTTTATGATTTTGGGCTTGTTGGGATCCTCTCTTTGAGAGGATCATTTTGGTAGTTAAATCATCCAAATTGAACCAGTGAATCAAAAGTTATTTATTATATTTTTATAATATTTAATAATAAATAACTTTTAATCTACTAGTTCAATTTGGATGATTTAACTACCAAACTGATTCTCTCAAAGAGAGAATTCTAACAAGCCCAAAATCATAAAATTCCAATCACGGAATCATAAGATCGAAATAGATTTGTGTATTATTACTACAGTATATAGTATTTATTTAATAATATAGTATAGTAATAATATACAAATCTATATCGATCTTATGATCCTGTGATTGGAATTTTATGATTTTGGACTTATTGGAATCCTCTCTTTGAAAGGATCATTTTGGTAGTTAAATCATCCAAATTGGACCAGTGGATCAAAAGTTATTTATTATATTTTTATAATATTTAATAATAAATAACTTTTAATCTACTGGTCCAATTTGGATGATTTAACTACCAAACTGATCCTCTCAAAGAG